CACCAAGCAGCGCGACTCCCCCCAGCCGGAGCAGAAGCCCCTCTCCCCTCGCCATGCCCTCTCGCCTCCGCGCCGCCAGGGCGCGCCCCTCGTCGCTCGGCGCACCTCTTCAAGCTACAAACATGTCCGCGAGAACCAGCTCGTCACAAAGTCCCCCTTCCGCTCCGGCATCCCGCAGCCCTCTCCCCGCCGCGTGAGCGGCGAGAAGAGGCCCCGCCCGGTGTCCATGACCACTCAGGCCGAGAAGGAGCACCCCCTCGGGTTCAAGCGCAGGCAGTCAAAGGGCTTCCAGGGTCTCCTGCAGAAGGAGCCCGTCACAAAGAGCCCTTTCAGGCGCGGCTCCGATGGGACCTCTTCCGAGGAGCTGCCACCCCCCGTGCCACCGAAACCCAGACAGCAGCACCACATGTCTGCCCATTTGGGACCAACGCCGACGCCGACGTCTTCGACATCCTCGCCCACCAAGCCCTCGCTTGTCACGCGCCGCTTACACGGGCCGCGCGACGCAGGCGGACGCCGACAGCGCAGGAAAACGGTCACTTGGGACGAGCGCATGGACGTGATGGAGTTTGAGCCGGACGAGAACGCGATGGACGACGACGTGTTCTACTCCGAGGACGACTACGGCGTGCCCAGCGACGAGGAGGACAACCACGACAGCTATGACTTTTACGGCTCCCAGGGCGCCGACGACAGCATCCTCGGCGAGGTCGAGCATATGTTGGAGGATGCGCGCCCACAGACGCCCCCACGACGCGAAGAGGACGAGGATATCGAACTGCTGCCTCCGTCGCCTTCTCCCGCGAAGAAGCGCCCGGAAACGACCGCCCACTCACAAGCACATAGCAGTCCACCGCCAGACGACGACAGTGAGTATACTTTGTTCATATCGATAGCCACGCCGGGGAGGCCTCCTGCGGAATCTATACTCTGCAGACCTTGGTCGCTTCACAAGGAACAAGCCCCCTGCGTACGCTGAGTGGCTGCACCAATGTTACCGATTTTCGCATGCACAATACTCGAGCTGACCATACATTGCGATGCAATACATTTGTGCTGCCGTCGAAGTCTTCATTACTGACAGCCATTTACAGATGCGCCTGCTATCCCCCACGAGATGGATCATATCAAGGATGAAAGTCCCCCATTCAATCGGGACGAGTCCTACAACTCAATCCGGTCAAACGACTCGGACTCACTCGATCCCTCCAACCTCTCCATCGGGAACTCTGAGGTCTCCCTAACCAACCTGGACAGCCAGTCTTTGATCGTGGATGCGAGCAACCCCGTGGACGATTCGCTCATCAGCCACTCCTCATTCGCCCCTCAGGCTGGTTCATCACCACCGGGTCGGCCACTCTCCCGTTCCAGATCCGCAACACCTCTTGACCAGTCCTTTGAACTGTCGCGAGACCGCTCTTTGGAGGCCCGTTCGACACCCTGTCTGAATGGTGCCCGGTACAACTCACCGCGGCCTGGTTCTGCCTCGGGCTCTCGCTCGGGCTCTCCTTTCCATCAGCTATTCCGGCCATCCAGCACTTCCAGCCTGGGGAGCGTGGGTCGACGCTCCAGTCCGTTCATCACTCCCGAGGGAGTGCAACAACGGCTGCAACGCAAGAGCCAAGAAGCACTCAATGGAGCTTTGCAAAGTGGGAGCGGGAGCCCCGCACCATCTGCCACCCCAGCTGCTGAAGCCTCACAGTCATCTCAGCCGATGGATGTGCCACAGGAGCTGCAAAACCATGACCCAGACACGTCGGTCGCTACGGATATCGAGCCTGAACCCCCTGCAGCGAAGCCATCAAGTACCATACCTCCACTCATGACCCGCGGTCAGAACCCTACACACGACGGCGTCTTGACTATTGACCCCGAACCACAACCCATCGATCCTCCGCGACCCACCCTGGCAGCACGGGCGAATAGCATCGATGGTGCAGGCCCTGGTGCCACGGCAGGAACCCCAATGGACGCCAAACGCGCTTTCGAAGGTCTCGAGCTCGACTTTGAGCACGGCTTCGCCCTCGGCGAAGAGGGCATGAGTGTCAGCGCCGGTTTAGGCATGCGCTCCATGTCTCGCCATATGGGCCTTAGTCCAAGTGCCAATGTGGCTCCTGGCTTGGGCCGGGCGAAATCTCCTCCCCTACCAGAGGCTATCCAGCGCGCGGGTGTGCGCCGGAGCAGCATGTATCTCGGCGATGTCAGCGCACTGGACAAGCTCATGGAGGACATGGCGCAGAACGCGGAAGTGGATCCCCTCGCCGATCTTTCCCTCTTGTCCGAGTCTGAGGTGGGCGAACGATCGTTCCATAGTCTCAGGGTGGAGGAAGTCACAGAGGGCGTGAAAGCGTCCACCTTCACCCTACCGGACATCGTCAGGGACGAAGAGGAGATGAAGATCGACGTGGATGAGGATGCCACGCGACCATCTACTCCGGAGGGAGGATGGCGCGCGACCGAAAGCCATATCAAGGAGGCAGTCGAGGTTGCCCCGGCCAAACCCCCGGTGAACGCCATTCGCGCGCGCGAGGAGCTGATCATTGCCAAGAAGCGCGAGGCGCGACGACTCGAGGAGGAGGATAGCGACGACGACGTGCCGCTGGGGAGGAGAATCCCGGCGAGAGCGACCACCACCCAAGCCGCCCCCGCTGCAATGCTGCATCCCAGCACCGCAAATTCGGGACGTCCCACCCGACGTCGCAGCATGAGTACTGGCGACGCCGAGGACATCCTTACGCGAACGCCAGGCGCGTCGAGGCGCGCGGCGGCCTTGCAGAGGGACGGGTTACTGGATATCACTGCGCTACGGGGCGAGGATGATCCTCTTGCTGACAGCATCAATCGCGAGTTGAAGAAGCTCGAGGCCCCCACACGCACAGTGAGTTTCAATGTCTGCGGACATCTATGCGACGGTTGGCTGACTGCACATTGATGAGCAGAAGTACCATGTGCGAGAACACTCGGAAACCATCTATGCATCTTCAGATGGGGATCGAATCTCGCATATGGCTCGCGCGGGCGATTTGGATGCTGGCAAGGCTTGGAGGACTCTGCGGAGACCTTCCGATATGGTTAGTGACATGCAATGCCGTGATGGTGAACCTCCATTGACCGACCGTCTCGCCTCGTCAGAACGAGTACTCGAAGCAGATCAAGGAGCTTCGGGCGCAGAGCAAAGCGGGCAAGGCTCACGGCAAGGTTTTCGTCCGAGGTAAGCCTTCGACCTACCCTGCCAATCTTTGTTCTTCAATTGATCCCTTGCAGTTCTTGGTTTGAGGGCTCTGCAAGTGCCCATCCCCCGGGAGCCCACGGCGATCACTTGCACGCTAAACAACGGTATCCACTTTGTCACAACGCCGGAAACTGCGCTCGGGCAAGAGTGTCGCATCGACCAGGAGTTTGAGCTGTGAGTGTGCATGCTGTCCTCGTTTGGGTTGTTTTTGACTTCAGTTCCTAGGATCGAGCACAGTAAGCTTGAGTTCACCCTGACGATCAAAGTGCGTAGGGACCCGCATATCATCGCCCAGTTCAAGGTGAACCAGCCACCACCTGCTCCTCGACCGGCACCGCAACCTCTGCCACCTCCCGCGTCGAAGGGAGGAGGCTCATCAAAGGGCGGCGGTATGCGCAGCTTCCTTGGCCTTGGATCCCCAAAGAAACCAAAGGCAGTCCCGCGTCCCGCGTCTCCCGCCCCTCCGCCGCCTCCGCCACGCTTTGAACTGAGGGAGAACCTCGCGCGGTATTTGAAGCCCGATGGTTCTCTTGCGCGAGCGTTCATCTCGTTCAAGGACGTTGCACCGCTATGCGACACGCGACTTCTTGAGACCGCATTCCCGCTCATTGGACAGAGGCTAGAGAACGGGTCAGCGGCAAAGGCCATGCAGATCGGGGAAATCGTGTTGCAGATCTTCAGGCTTCCGCCCTTGCCTGGAATCCCGCCAAATCAGTTGCCGCAGAGCCTGGAAGAGTGTCACCGGGGTTTGAGTCACGTCCGATGGCATAAGGCGACGTACCAGCAGGGTATGTTGACGCAGAACGGTGGCGATTGCGCGGTAAGTCGATTCGAGGGTCAAGCACAGTTCTGAGGCTGATGACACGTCTGCAGACCTGGCGGAGACGACACTTTAGAGTCATCGGTGCCAACATGATCGCGTTCAACGACATTACGAAGCGGGCGATCACGACCATAGACTTGCGCAAGGCAATCTCGGTCGAAGACGATCGCACGCCGGTGCTCAGCCCGGCTTCTGGGATGACTGCGCGCAGTCATTTCGACGATGATAGACTGTACGGAGTCGAACGCGCCTTCCGGCTTGTGTTCGGCCCCAGTCCGGACGAGGAAATCCTCTTCTTCGCGGATTCGGATGCTGAAAAGTCAAGATGGTGAGTCGGTCTACCTGCCCGTAGCAGTTCGTATGAAGCTGACCACCCTGCTCGCAACTCAGGCTGGAGGTTCTGCGTGCTATGATTGGCCGGATACCTCCCAACCCGCTGTGGGCAGAGCTGCTATGGCAGCAGCAGCAGGAACAAGCCAAGGGCGCGCCTCCCCCTTCTCAGACTACTCCCCAAATCGCTGTGCGAGACCCCTCACGATAGGCTTTTCTCCTCCTCTCTCTTTCCATCTTCAGCTCCTGCTCCTGCGCTCTCGCGCGCTCTCTCTTTATTCACGACCTCGCTACGCGTCTCAGCCTGATCTTATAAGCGAATACGACTGTACTGTACCCGACGACTCTATGATAGTGCGCGCGTTTTGAAGTTGTGCCTATGTGTTTCCTTCGAAGACTTTTTTCTGACTATGTATTGTATGCCATTGAATCGTGAATGCATTCTTTTCGGTCTCGGATTGATGGTCGCTCGATAGAGGGTCGTACGCTGAGTTGGGGGGACGGTGAGAGCAAGGCGGGATCTTGGCAGTTGGCGACAAACAGGTGACCTGGCTTGCGTGAAATTCTGAAGCTCTTTGCTACCCACATGTAAGCATTAAGTGCCAGTTGTCGCAGGGCGGAATGGCCGAGCGGTCTAAGGCGCTAGAATCAGGAGCTGGCAGCAGTCCCATCTAGTCCGAAAGGGCGTGGGTTCGAATCCCACTTCCGTCATCCCTTTTGCTTTTTCCTTTCTCTCTCCATCACCTCCGAGTCTCGTCTGCAGCTTACGGCGTGTGCTTTCTTCCTTCCTTTCATACTGTACCCCTGCTGCTGGGTGGACTTGCAACGTTGGTATGGGTGTCCATGGTCTCACTACTTACCTTCGCGAACACAAGCCCACCCTCTCTCGCACCATCCAGCTTTTTCGCCAACCCGGTACAACACCTGATGGCGCCAGCCGCAGCGAGCCAGACATTGACAAGAGAGCCGAGCCGGTCCCCATAGTGGTCGATGGGTGGTCGTGAGTGTCCCATCTCGCTTCTCATGACCTCAGTCTACTGAACGCTGCTCTCTGGGAACTTGCGCTAGGTTCATCTACGAGGTCGTGCGCTGCGGCAACTTGCCGTGGGTCTATGGCGGAGAGTATCCTGCGCTTGTGCAGTTGATCCGCAAGGTGGTCGATGCATGGATCGAGGTCGGGATGGTGCTGCACTTTGTGTTCGACGGTGAGTGGTATGTGGTTTCCATTGAATCTTTGAAGGGTGGGCGGAAGCTATGTCCTGGTGTCTGTGGTGTCAAGACCTCTGCAACCTGTACGGACTTGATACCGCTCTCTTGTCCTGCAGTATGGAGCATGTCTATGCTTTCGGTTCATCCTGTCTAAGGCTGCAGGATTCCGCGAGCGGTCCCCACACGACGTCTGCGGATGACTTTGTCCCGCACGTATGTCTCATCCGGGTCTCCTCTAAATCCCTTCTACGAGACGTGCTCATGTTATCCATGGTCAGGCCCATATCCTACCCTCAAGTTTCCCACTCTTGTCTCGCGCATCACCCAAAATCATATACAGAACGGCCTGCTCTTCTTCCGCACCTCGGCCACAGCGCGGGCAACGCCCCGGTTCCTGCATGAAACAGCTATGCTGCCCCCTCTGACGTATGCGGTTTGCGTGGAGACCCTAGTCGAGATGGCAAGTGATACCCAGGCAGGCAAGCTGCACGTCCACATCGCGGACGAAGAAGGCGACCCGTACGCGGTGGCTCTGGCCGGGCGGCTCAATGCGTATGTCGCTGGGCGGGATTCCGATTTTATCATGTTGAACGCGGAGGGATATCAAGGCTACGTCCCGCTGGACGAGATGGTCTGGGCTGTCACGCAAGAATCTGCCACCGCTTGGGAAGGGGACGGAAGTGTGTACTCGATGGATACCGAACCGGACCTTGACGAAAATGGTTTCAAGCCCGCGCGTACCAAGAAATCCCGCAAACCTCGCGCTGCGGTGCAGCAGCGTGCGGGTCGGGGTATCATCCCTCCTGAGGACTTGGATAGCCCCGACTCTCTGGTCTCGCTCTCGTTCACCGCATACAGCCCGTCCATTCTGGCATCGCACCTGGAGATACCCGTTTCACTCCTTCCGCTCCTGGGCGCACTTGTGGGCAACGACTTCACCGGCTCTTCAGATGATTCTGGCCCGCCAGCGACGACGGCAGAGATCCGCACGAACCGCAAGGCGAACCTGCAGTGTTTGTTCTTCGAGCGCCAGATGACGCTCGGACAGCGGATCGAACGTGTTGCGCAAGTCCTCAGTGGCATCCTGGCGGCTGCGTTCGGACAAGGTGCGATGCCCCACAAGAAGCGGCTCAAAAAACCCATCGGGAGCGTCATGGACCTCATCGACGCTGCCGTCACGGCTCTCCTGCTCCGTCCGCTCGACACGTTTGCTACAGGGGAGAAGGAGGCCATCGTGGAGCGGATCGTCGAGGCGACTCTGCAGTACGCGGTGCCAAGGCCGGAAGGAGACGAGTCCGAGGGTCCTATTGACGTCCACAGCGAAGCTGAGCGCGGAGTGCTGCAGTGGGTTTCTGACGTATGTCCGCTGCATCACGCCGAAGCTTGCCCTTTAGTCGTCTCCCTGTCTCGCCTACTCTCCTCTCAGCAAACGGAGCCCTCCGGGGACGCGGTGACTCTAGTGACTGAAGCGCTAGAGACTGTGCGGCAGGAGTATGCTAGGGCGTACAGGCAAGGGCGATTCGCCCCGCACATCTTGGATGCTGTGCAGACTGGAACGATGTGGCCGTGGCCGTTTCTGGAAGACCCCGACAAAGAATGCGTGAAACGGAGTGTCGGCCGACCCATTCGACAATGGGTGTACGCGATCCTGGACGCTAGCGTCGGCCTTCCTATGCCACCAGAGCCTGCAGACGATGAGAACGGGGAGTCTATGGACGAAGAGGAGGACGAGGACGAGGACGAGCTTGTGGACGTAGTGGAAGAGGATGATGAAGACGATGTCGATCCGCTCGCGCGCCTGAAAGGCGCACTGAAGGAGTTGGACGAGTCAGAAGCGGGAGACGAGAGCGTAGGGCAGGAGCCGCCGCCCTCCGTCCTGTCCGAGTCGAGCGCCCCGTCTCCTTCGCGCCAGAAAATCATCACCGAGTACATTCGGCGTGGTACACGTCTAGCCGAGGAAGAGGTCATGGTAACGCCATTGACCGAGTTGTTGTATCGTACCGCTCTGGAAGGTCCGGCGAACCCGAAGACATCATTGCCGCTGCCCCCTCCTCTCTGGCCGGAAGACATGCGGCGAAGGTTGCTGGCAGCTGCGGTCGACGCTGACTACCCTGAAGTGCTTCATGTCGGGGACCACCATCTTCTGGCTGTGTTGGCTCTGCGATCTGTTGTGCAACGGATGCATCTCCGGGCACAGGAGAATCCTGGGGTGAAGGAGCGTCAGCAGGAGCGCTGGACTCAATCCGAGGCACGGGCGTTCCTGACGTGTCTCTTTGGTCGCGTCCAGGAGTCCCCAGAGCTAGGTACAGCCGGAGGTGCGGACGAGCGGGCGACCGACGAGGTGCCGATCGTCGAGCGACATGTTCAGCTCGTAGCGCAGCTTTTCGCCGCCCTCGAAGCGATCGAGCATCTCTCGCATGTCCTGCTCCTGTCGCCGAGCATCAAGAACCCCGCGAGTCGCTTCGCCGGACGCACGTTCCATGCGCTGCTCACTGGGCTGGCTACGCCTGCGGAAGACGTTGATGCGGAGCTGTGGCAGGCGTGCTGGGTTGGTCTCGAGGACGCGTACTCGACCATACCGCAGAAGAAGGGCAGGAAGGAGAAAAGGATTGCGGCGGCCAGCCAGGCCACGACGTCGAAAGCCCAGTCAAAGAGGGCAGCGGTGACGAGAGGTGGGATGTACGAGCTGCTGGGCGACGCTATGGCGTAAGATTTAATGTGTGTGGCTACTTTTGGTTGGGGAGTGTACGTCGCTTTCGAGTGTAGCAAGACTGTAGCGAGTGTAGTATATCAGGGCGCCTGAATGTTGTACGAACCATGCTTCCATGTACAGTTTATGGTTACTGTATTCTGCTCTGGCCCATCTCGAGTTGTGTTCGTTGTGCTTGTTCGTCAAGCTGACCGGAATCGGAGTGATGGTGGGTGCTAGGTACTTATACTTACAGTATGGGCGCCTACGGAATTGTGACTTCATCCGACTCGTTCAGTTGACCACTGCCAGGGACGTCCACCTCTCCAGCTCCCCTCACCTCCATCTTCTCGCCCGATTGCAATCGCACACTGCTCTGGGTACAAGTAGGAACACTCCTCTCTTGTAACGGCTTGCCTTTGACTCTACTATCATCTGCACGCTCCCGACAGTTGACCACCAGCGCTCTCTCCTGCGAACTTTAACGCAGCAGTGCGGACCTCGACCGCTGTTCTTGACATAGGCATGATTCGGAGAGCTCTATCAACGCGCACACCTCTGCGCACGCACCTACGCGTGCCTATACGTCTGTTTCATGCACGACAAGTACAATCAGCACGACCCGCCACTTCTGGAGGCCGGACATCTGCAGTAACCTTGCCTAGGGTTCACAAAAGACACGCAACGTACGTCTGCCATTTGTAGACTTCTTTCGCACTGCTGCGCATCAATCGCATGTTGACCTGCAGAGCGCACTTTGCCAAGATTTCTTCTTCTCCATGCAATGTTAATCTTCAGATGAACTGAATGTTCAATAAGCTAGACGCGTCTCGAATGGGATATCCCCAAAGTCTGTTCTCATCGTGAACAAACTCAGGACAAAGCCGGTAGTGGAGGCCATTGACACATTGCTGAAGTATGTGTCAAGTCGTCGAAAGGCTAGCGCAGGCCCTGACCGTCCTGAACGTAGATACATCCGCGAGAAATACCCGGAGGTGGAAATCTATCATGAAGACAGGCCAGACATCCCCGAAGGCGCGAAGGTGTGGCACCCAGGGTCTAACGCTGACCCAATCGACTTGGTCATTACGCTGGGCGGTGACGGCACTATACTGCATGCCTCGTCACTATTCAAGACTGGCGCAGTCCCTCCGGTTCTGAGCTTCTCCATGGGCACACTCGGATTCTTATTACCGTTCCGTAAGTATCCTTATTCTTCCAATCCTAACTCTGGCGCTGACCAGCTTCTACAGATATTGATGACTACACGAAGGCGATCGACAGCGCCTTTGCTGGTCGCATCACCGTCTTGCATCGAATGCGCCTGTCATGCACATTCCAGGATTCTGGTGGAGAGCGTATCGACACCCAGTGCGAGGGTAAGGCAGTTGCTCTTTGAACTCGCGTAGTACTGATGTGTTCTCCTAGATTGGCAAGTGATGAACGAAGTCGCGCTGCATCGCGGTTCAAGCCCACATCTCAACACTATTGACGTCTTCGTCGACGGGCAGCATCTGACTGAAGCGGTGGTATGTACCCGACTACAATCGCATTTTACTGTGGTCTTGACGGTTGCTTGCCGCTGTGATACTAGTCAGACGGTCTGATCGTGTCCACTCCCACTGGGTCGACAGCATACTCGCTTTCAGCGGGAGGACCTATCGTGCATCCGTCCCTCAGCGCCATCGTCTTGACGCCCATCTGTCCGCGAAGTTTGTCGTTCCGGCCGCTCGTGTTCCCTTCGTCATCTTCGATCACTCTGCGGGTATGTGGCGCCTTTTCGGGCCTTTCTGTAACCCTAATTGTCGCTGAC